GGAAGGAACAAGAGATCTTCACGTATCAGTCGCTGCTGGCGTACACGGTACTCCTGAGAAACCTGTCACCACAAGAGCAGCAGAGCATCAGAACGTATCGGAGTTATGGAAACTCCGCGGAGCTCGCATGGCACCACCTCAAGTGCCTTTACCAAGCAAACGACAGCGTGACACAAAGCAGACTCATGCAACAGTTGACAACAATACAAATGAAGACCGGGGAAAAGGCGATGCAGTATATGAGTCGCTGCCAGACCCTCCGCGACCGCCTGCTTCGGTGCGGAGGAACGATCACTGAAGAAAGCTTCGTGACACTTGTCCTCGCCGGGCTCGGGCCAGAATGGAGAACCACACGATCACTTCTTCGAGCCCACGGAAGAATTTCGGAGATGCACCTCTGCGCCGAGCTTCACGCTGAACAACAGGAGATGGATCTGTTCGAGGAAAGACAACCAAGGAAGCAACAGCAGTTAGTCTTCTACACTCAAAGAAGAAATGACAACAACTACAACCGACGCAGCAAGCAAGATCAACGCGACAACCGAGGACTCATCATCGTACCGCCATTCTGCCACAACTGCCAGACTTCCGGGCACTCCAAAGTCAACTGCAACCGCCCTCGCGTTTACCGTGCAGCAGACCCACAAGTCGCTTCCACTCAAGCAAGTCCTCCAAGGCGCTCTTCAACATCTGCACAACAAACACCCAACATCATCAACTGCATGGTACACATCGACAACTGCGCACCCGGTTCACCACCCACTTACGCACCAGACGAAGAGGAATTCCCGCCACCGCGCTCGCAAGGACTTCAGGTCAACCCGACATACGCTGCAGTCGCCAACGCCGAACCCACCGGGCGAAACACCTGGTTCTTGGACAGCTGCTGCGGTCAACACATGTGCTCCTCGGGACGCTTCGTGCAACAGGAGAAACGACTCAACCGCGACGTCGTCATCACAGTCGCCAACAACGAAAACCTGAAGACAAACAGACAAGGCGTGGTTCAGCTACAATCCATGGAAACAAACGTAATACTCCAGCTCAACAAAGTGCTCATTGTCAACAACCTGGGATACAATCTACTAAGCGTAAGCCAACTAATGGCCAAAGGGATTCACCTGGAGTGCGACTCTTACTCCAACGAGTTCCGGCTTTACCACGGGAAGGGCGGCCTCTTCATCGGTCGTGCCCTCTTGAAGTCCGGCGTCTTCGTGTTGGACTTCGTCCCCGACCGCGGTACTGCCGACAGCGACGGTATCGTATCGTTCGCCGCCTGGACTCACCCGCCGGATCTTGATCCCGACTTCGACAGTGACGGCTTCTGGCACTCCAACACCATACCTGCAGCAGAGAGAACACGAGCATTAGCAGTTATCAGACAAAAAAGACAAGTACCCGCAAGTGTCCCAACAAAACCATCACCTGCAGTATCGGCAGCAGGACCCAGCCGAGTACCACCACCATCAACACGAGGACCGCCAACGGAAGCAGACCAACTTATGCCCGCCACACGAGAAGCTTGTCGAAGTCCCGCCTCGGTCGTCGCGTTCTTCTCCAACGCCGACATCTACCACCGCTCGCCCGGTCACCGTGCTCCCGACGACATCTGGCACCAACGCCTCGGACACCCTGCAAACAGCACAATACTTCAAACAATCCAAGCAGAGGTGTTAGAACGCAACGCCCTTCTGACGACGAGCGGTCAAGAACTTCGACGACCACGCGCACGGTGCTTCACATGCCCCGAAGCAGATCTTCCTCATCAACCTTTTTCATCCCATCACAACCCAAGCGCACCTACTTACGCTCCGATGGAAAAAGTCTACAGCGATATTTTAAACATGCCTCGAGACGACGCCGAAGCCGACTTTAACTACGTCATCACTTTCATCGACGCCGCAACCAGATATGTCTGGCACTTCAATCTCAAAACGCGCGACCAAGCCTTCGAAGCCTTCACAACATGGCTCCCCATCGCCGAACGAGAATCAGGACTCAAACTCAAGAGCTTCCAGTCAGACGGTGCACTGGAATACCAGTCACAACGCTTCAGGACCTATCTGGCGGAAAGGGGAATCAGACGCCTGGTGTCCCTGCCCTATGCTCACCAACAGCAGGGGGTAGCAGAACGCATGAATCGGACCTTGCAGACGACGATGCGAAAACTGCTTCAGGGGATGCGACTGCCAACCACACTGTGGCCAGACGCGATGACACATGCTGTTCACCTGCACAACCTGCTGTCCTCGTCATCACTTCCCAACAACGCATCACCGCACCTGCTGTGGACAAGAAAAAGGGGCAGCACAAAATTACTCAGAGTCTTTGGCTGCATGGTACAGTACAGACCCCACACAGCCCGAGCAGGACGCTTCACACAACGAGCTCGGTGGGGCCTCCACCTCGGCATCGCGAAACATTTTCACGCGTGGAAAATTCTCGACATACAAGACAAAAACACGGTGGCATCACGAGACGTTATCTTCTACGAACGACTGACTCTACAGCATTACCTGGACAACCTTGCCAACACACAAGACCCCACCGACGGCCTCTCGGGACTTCGTTCCTTCGCCGATCGTGCTGCCGAAGCTGACGCAGCAGAAGAAGACGTACCTGGAGCCTCGGAAGCTGCCGGGCCACTCCCATTCTGTTCCGTACCTGTTCCACTCGATGAAGATAATCCCCTCGATAGCAACAACCTCGACACCTTTTACCACTTCGCCGACCAAGGTTACGCTACACCTCACCCCGTCGACACGAATATTTCGGAACGCATCGGCCCCAATTTCTTACCTGACCCCGAAGACGGTGACGAAGCAGCTTATTCCGGGAATGACAATTCCCCTCGACACACACCCACGGGACTCCAGATTCTAGGCCTCTGGGTCTCCGTCCAGCATCCGCCGCCGCCTTCTACGCGTGAGCCTTCAACCTTGTCGCAGGCTCTGGGGGGGGAACATAAGGTAAAATGGAAGGAAGCGATGGAAAAGGAGTTAAAAGCTCTGCAAGACCGAGAAACATGGAAACTGGTACCTGCAACGAGCATCAACGGGAAGAACGTTCTCTCGGGGAAATGGGTGTACCGCATCAAGACCAACTCAGACGGCTCCATCGAACGATTCAAAGCTCGATGGGTCGTGCGAGGCTTCGATCAACGATACGGAACCGACTACACAGAAACCTTTGCTCCAGTCTCCCGTCACACCTCATTACGCATCCTACTCGCCGTCGCGGCCACGAAAACACTACCACTACGCCAAATCGATGTCGCGAATGCGTTCCTATACGCACCTGTGGACGCTGAGATCTTCGTCGAACAACCCCACGGATTCATCGACGACCCCACGAAAATATGCCGACTGACAAAATCCCTATACGGGATCAAGCAAGCCCCGCGGCTCTGGCAGCAGCATCTTCACAGCCGTCTCGTAAAAATCGGCTTCCTACAGCTACCACATGACCAAGGCATGTACCGACTGCAGAAGGGAAGAGATTACATTCTGCTCATCGTCTACGTCGACGACCTGCTCTACATCGGTTCTACCACCGACATCGTCACCCGGTTCGAAGAGGAGCTGAAAGGGGACCTGACGCTCACAGTGTCCGACTCAGTAACCCAGTACTTGGGGCTAAATATCGTCGAAGACAACTCGGCGTTCTACCTACACGCTGGAAAGTACGCAGGCACTGTCGCGAAGAAATTCGGACTAACACCGGCTACCGCCTCAACTCCCTACCGCTACGGAAACAACAACAGCGCCTCCGCAAAACTCCCCGCGAAGCAAATCCAGGAGTATCAACAGAAGCTCGGCTGCCTACTATTTGCAGCAGTAACCTGCCGACCCGACCTGTCCTATAGTGCAAGTCAACTGGCGACGCATCTGAAGCAACCGGAACAGGAGGATCTCGAGGAACTCAACCGGGCACTACTCTACTTCATCTCCACGCCGACGATCGGACTTACCTACAGCAAAGCGACAACATCGTCCATACAACTACTCGGATACGTCGACGCCGACCACGCGGGAGATAGGGAAAATCGACGATCTAGGACGGGCTACATCTACCGACTAGAACCCATCGGAACTATCTCCTGGCAGTCGAGCAAGCAGGAGTTAATCGCACTATCCTCTGCTGAAGCAGAGTACATCGCCCTTTGTACCGCGACCAAGGAAGGACTCTACCTGCGAGAGTTACTCGAGGAAGCGAAGATCGCGACCCTGCCCGCCTTCTCACTCTTCTGCGACAACCAATCTGCGATCAAAATCGCAAACAAGGACGGCTTCGCCAACCGAACCAAGCACATCGCCCTGCGGTACTTCTTCGTCAAGGATGAAATCGCGAAGGGGAGACTTCAACTCAGTTACTGCCCGACGACAGAGATGGCCGCAGACTATTTGACGAAGAAATTGGCGAAGGCAAAATTCGACTACTGCATGGTGCTGACCGGACAAACAAACGTCATCGGACCTGAACAAGTCAGCACTCCAGAAACGAAGGGGAGTGTTGAAAGTACATCAAAAGACTTAAGCGTTTCTGAAGTGTAACACTACACTCGAGGAAGATTGCAAGGGGTACGCGAGTCAACGGAGGTTACACGAGGGGGCGGACAAAGAACACGAAGGGTCTGGGACTCAAAGGGTCGCAACTGGAGGTTGCGACTGACCGTTACAGCATCACGGATGGTAACCGAAGCGGCAATCGAGTCGCTATGCGACTCGATAAACCGTTCCTGTAACTGTACTCTGCAACTGCTTTCTTATCTTCTATATATTGCTGTATGCTTGTTTCTTTAATCAATCACTTGTTCTCACATACTAGTACAAGGGTTCAACCGTCTCAACTTCCGCTGCACTACTCAAAGTCTCAAGTCTCCACAGCTGGAACTTAGTCTCTGCAAAAGATCCTAAGGGCTTTTCTCAGCCCAACAGTAACAAACTTAGCTTTCGGCAGTTTGTGGACACAACCTCGAAGTGGACACAGCCTTGGGTGAACTGGAATTCTGGTGCATTTTGCAATTCCCAGCAGAGCAGTGACGCTCACAAGCAGATAACAAATTTAGGTACAAACCTTGGCCATTCACCAGTAATACCGCCTCCTACCGAACTTGGGCTTCTGAAAATTTGGCAGATTATACTCAGGGTAGCTTGGAGCAGCAACAGGAGGGGCAGGTGGTGCAACAAGGTGAAGCGTTTTCTTCTTCTCAAGCATCATCTTGAACGTCTCCTCCGCCTCCACCTGCTTCCGTGCATCCGCCCCTGCCCCGAGCCTCGCCATCCGGTCTGGGTGATACCGAAGCAGGGCCTTTTTGAAAGCTGCTTCAACCTGCCAGGTGTGGCGGAAGAGTGGGAAATGAGACGAGCACTCAGAAAGGAGCAAATGCAAGGAGCCATGAACTTGGCGAGATCCCAGGCACTGTTGAACGACCCGAGTGCAAGTCCAGCGTATTTCTCTCACCTGCTGACTCGTTGGCTGCGGCATGCCATCCACTTTGATCCCAATCTTGTCCAGGACAGAGGCAAAGTCTCGGCAGCCTGCCAGGCGCTTCAAGAGGTCGCCGTGCACCGATGCTCGCAGCTGCTCCTTCAGGCCCGTTGCGCGCTCCACCTGAAAAGCGCAAGAGACAGCACAGATGCAGGAATAGACACAAAAACGGGAAGGGACAGTCATGCCACCTGCCAGGCTGCTTCAAAAGGTCACTGTGCACAGATGCTCTCAGCTGCTCTTGAGACCTGTTGCCCGCTCCACCTGAGGAGTGGAAGAGGGACGGGCAAATAAGCAGACCGTATGCTTATATACGACGCGTTATAAATAGATTCAATACAGGGAAAACAGAAACAGCAAGGGGTGCAAAGAAGTAAGGAAGCAAGCGCCAAGCACATTGGGCTGCAGATACGAACCTGCTCCTGCTGCTGCCGAACCTCCTCCACGCGCTTTTGCTGCCGAGCCTCCATCCGTTCCAGCCTCTCACGTTCAGTGCGCTCTGCCCGTCTCCTCCTCTTCTCTGCCTGGGCCTCCCCCGCCTGCTGCTGCAGCACCTTTTGCCGCTCCCTCCACTCCTCGTCCTCCATACTCTGGAACCCCTCACTCTGCCGCATCGCCTCCCTCCCCATCTCCACTGCCGCTCCTGCCAGTGCTGCTCGCACTTCTCCCTCCCCAACTTCTTCCCTTGCTTCCACCACCCTCTGCTGTTCTTTGTCTCCCCTTTCCCCTGCTTCCTTCTCCCTCGAGTGTCCCCCTTCCCCGCCATCTCCCTTCTCCCCTGTTTCATCCTCCCTCTCATTCTCCTCCATACTGCTTTCTCCAGCCGTCCTCCCATCAGCCGCCCTCCCATCAGCCGCCCTCCCATCAGCCGCCCTCCCATCAGCCGCCCTCCCATCAGCCGCCCTCCCATCAGCCGCCCTCCCATCAGCCGCCCTCCCATCAGCCGCCCTCCCATCAGCCGCCCTCCCATCAGCCGCCCTCCCATCAGCCGTCATCCCATCAGCCTTCCGGTGCCTCTTGGGCACCCTCATACGTGCATCCAGCCCCCTTTGCCCTAGTCCAGGAGGCCCCTGTCGCTCTCCATTCCCGTCATCCCTTACCCCTTCAGCATCACCCCCTCTCCCTCCGCCTCCCCCCCTCTTTCCATTCCTCCGCTCTCCTCAACGCCCACTTCTGTCCAACCGCCCACCAAACCCCCACTTTCCTCGAAACAATCCCCGCGCGCCCTCTGCTCTCCACTCATGCTCCCCTGCGTCTGCTCCTCCGCCCTCGCCTCTCCTGCTGCTGCTTTTGTCTCAGCAGCCATCGCTGCTGCTGCTTCTACTCCACTCCTGTTCGCTGCTGCTGCTTCTACTCCACTCCTGTTCGCTGCTGCTGCTTCTACTCCACTCCTGTCCGCTGCTGCATATGCTGCACTTGCAGGTGCTGCTGCTGCTCCTGCTGCTGTGCTTGTTGCTGCTCCTGCTGCTCTGTGTACTGCTGTTTCGCCCACCCGTGCCTTCTTGTGTGCCATTGCTTGTGTCTCTCTGTCTGCTGCCGCCTTTGCTGCTGCTTCTTCTGCTGCATGTGCTGCTCCTTCTGCTCCTCCTGCTCCTTCTTCTCCTCCTGCTCCTGCTGCTCCTTCTACTCCTGCTGCTCCCGAAGCCACTCGTTCTGCTAATCTTTCTGCTGCTCCATGTGCAGTTGTGCCTGCTCTTGTGCCTTCCGCTGTACCTGCTGCTGCACCCGCATCCGCACCCGCACCCACACCCGCACCCGCACCTGCACCTGCACCTGCACCTGCACCTGCACCTGCACCTGCACCTGCACCTGCACCTGCACCTGCACCTGCACCTGTGCCTGTACATGTACCCGCTGCTGCTGCTGCACCTGCACCTGCACCTGCTCTCCCACGTGATGCTACATCTGCCCCACACGCCCCTTCACCTGACGCCCAGGCTGCTGCAGACTCCCTGCAAACCCGCGCCTCAAAGCTCCCCTCACTCCCGCTGCTGTCACGCCCTCCCCCACCACCCCTACCAACCGGGTAACTGAACAACCCATCATCCGGGTCCTGGCCCCATTTGAAACTCCTCCTCCTCTTCCCAAGCTTGGTGCCCCGTGACACCACCGAAGCTGCCACCGAAGCTGCCGCCGAGGCTGCTGCCAGGGCTGCCACTGAGGCTGAGTCTCCAGCAGCAGCGGATGGGCCAGCAGTAGCTTCTCGATTACTCGCCCTGCCCTTAGCAGTAGATGCGTCTGACTCACCACCGTGACTGGAATCTGAGTCATCAACATCAACCACCTCGTATCTCACATGCACACTCCTCCCCAAACCAGCCCCCCCAGTGCCCCCTCTTCCGCCCTTTGCCTCCTCCCCTCTATGGCTTGCTCTGATCGCTGCACCCTTGGCTCCCTGCACTCTGAAAGCACCAGCAGCAAACGCACCAGCAACAAACGCACCAGCAGTCTTTCTAGGAACATGCGCCTCTCCCCTGCTATCCTCGTCACTGCTAAGACTCTCCGCCTCTCCCCACCGCTGCCGCTGATGCTGCTGCCATTGCTGGTGCTGAAACTGATGTTGCTGCTGCTGCTGCAGTTGCTGCTGCCAAAGCTGCTGCGCCTGCTCTCGTTGCTGCCGCTGCAGCAGCTGCTGCTCCATCCGTTTCTGCTGCTCCGAGTGCCACTGCGCTTGCCTCTTCGCCCTCCTCGCCAGTGCAGCAGCCTCCCACACTCGCCTCATCTCCTCTGCATCACCACACACCAAATCATCTCCCTCCTCCTCTTCCTCCTCCTCTCCCGCCTCCTCTTCCTCCTCCACTTCCCCCTCCTCTTCTTCATCCTCCTCCTCCTCCTCATACTCCTCTTCGTCCTCCTCCTCTACTTCCCCACCCGCGCCCCCTTTAACAGCAGCAGTATCAGCAGCAGAACCCGCAATGGCAGCACGCAGGGCAGCAGCGTTGGCAGCAGCAGCAGCCTCCCACATCCGCCTCATGTCGTCAGCAACTCCCCACACCAGATCATCATCCTCCTCCCTCTCCTCCACTCCCTCTTCCTCCACTAACCCCTCCTCCATTTCCTCTCTCTCCTCCACTCCCTCCTTCTCCTCCTTCTCCTCCTTCTCCTCCTCCTTCTCCTCCTCCTTCTCCTCCTCCTCCTTCTCCTCCTTCTCCTCCTTCTCCTCCTCCTCCCTGTCCTCCTCCCTCTCACTCTCTTCCTCCTCCTCTCCATCTGTATCCCCATAGGCCGCAAGAAGATCGGCAGCAACAGCATCAGCACCTACGTCAGCCGCACCAAAATCAGCAGCATCAGTAGCACCATCATTTACAACAGCAGCAGCAGCAGCAGCAGCAGCATCAGCATCAGCGGCTACACTCCTTCCTCTATTATTGGTGTCACCTTCGTTCCTATCAGCAGCACTTTTATCACCGTCGATACTGTCCCGTTCCATGTTATCACCTTCACGATTCGCACCAACGCCATCTCGTTCCCTCAACGTGCCTTCCCTTATAATGTCCTCATTTCCTACCCCCCTCGTCCTCTCCTCATTCTCCAACCCCCTTACCACCCCCCTCGTCCTCTCCCCATTTCCCGCCCCCCTTATCATCCCTTCATTTTCCACCCCCCTCGCCCTCTCCTCATTCTCCAGCCCTCCACAGCTCACAGCCGGATTCTCAGATATTTCGAACCTTCCAGAAGCTGAGGCGGTACTGACCACGCGTGCTCCTCTCTCCAGAGATTCCTGCTCCTCCGCTTCACGTGATCTCAAGACCTCCTGCTGCTCCTCTGCTTGGAATTGCAGATTCCTCCTAGCAGCTCCCTCTGCCGGATGAGAGATCCTAGCCGTTGGATCTGCGCTGCTTCCTGCTGCTGGTGTGGCAGGCAGCTCAATCGGCTCAGCTTGTTCACCTGCTCGCGCACCCACTTTGCTGTCAGCAGCCGCACATGCATCCGCTTGCTCCTCAGCTTCCATCTTACCCTCTCTAGCACCCTCGTTTCGAGCTCCTGCAGAGACTTCTGCATCAGCCGCTGGTTCAGCCGCTGGTCTAGCCGCTTCGCTTTCAGCCACCCCATCTGCTTCCGCTTGCTCCTCAACTTCCATCGTATCCTCTCTAGCAGCAACCTCACGTGCCTCGTTTCGACCTTCTGCAGAGACTTCTGCGTCAGCAGGTTCAGGAGCAGGTTCAGGCGCAGGTTCAGGCGCAGGTTCAGGCGCTTCGCTTTCAGCAGCCGCACATGCTTCCGCTTGCACCTCAGCTTTTATTCTGACCTCTCTAGCATCCTCGTTACAAGCTTCTGCATCTGCTCCTCTATAAGCTTCTTCATGAGTTCCAGAGTCGCCTTGCTTATAAGCTGCTGCGTCAGCTCGACTATCCGATCGACTATGATCCACTGCTTGCTGCGAGTCGTCTCCTAAATCAGTCCTTAAACTAATCCCTAATCCAGTCCCCGAACGACTGGCTGCAGTGCAAGCATTCGGAGCTAAACTTGAATCCAGCCCACAGCTGACGTCGCCGGCTGTCGCCTCCAAGCCCTCGCAATCGCAACCACGCCTGGACACGCTTCGCGAACCAGTCTCGAAACCCGTCCCTAAATCAGTTGCTAATCCAGGACCTAAATCAGTCTTCGAATCAGTTTCTATCTCAGCCCTTGCGCGAGCGGCTACAGTGCAAGCCTCCGCAAGTGCACTTGAATCTCCACGCGTGCTCCCAGCGAATCCTGTGTTTCCAGTGGAAGCCGCAACGGACGAATCCGCCTTACGGGAATCCGGGTTGCTGTCAAACATAATGAGATCATCATCGTCATCCTCCTCCTCCTCCTCTACCTCCTCCTCTTCCTCAAACTCTTCTTCCTCATACTCTTCTTCCTCATACTCTTCTTCCTCATACTCCCCGTACTCCTCCTCCTCCTCCTCCTGCTCTTCGCCACTGTCGTAGTCGATTCTGAGGAGTTTAGCACCTCGATTCCTGTCAGCGGATCTGTCGCTGGCCTTCGCTGCTTCGTCCTGATCGTCGTCGCACACTATCACTTCCACACCTTCGAGTAGCGTAGACTTGGCGGACTGACAAGCCATCACAACGGAAACAAATGTAGACTCAGGAGGCCAACAACATAAGGCCTAATTAAAAATGAAATTTAAAATAAAACATTTTCTTACGTTCAACAAGCCTCGATGGCGCAGTCGGTAGCGCGTAGGTCTCATAGCAACCCGACTCCCACAAAATGGGACGGAGCCATCCTAAGGTCGTGAGTTCGATCCTCACTCGGGGCATCATTTTTCCACTGTTTCCTGCCCCCTTTGAACCACTCCTCGAGTGTGATTGTGTTAGCCTATCAGACTGTTTGTTTCACCTTTCGCTCATCTCAATTTTCCTGAATCAATGCAAGTGGTGCCAATAGGTGATAGGTGCTGTAGTGTATGTAAATACACCACTATTGGAAACTACACCTCCAAGGGATTTTGGTTTGCGAGCTTCCCCGCAACTCGGTCACCGAATCACCGAATCACCGCGTCGTCGGCTCGTCGCACACCGCATCGTCGGCTCGTCGCACACCGCGTCGTCGGCTCGTCGCACACCGCGTCGTCGGCTCGTCGCACACCGCGTCGTCGGCTCGTCGCACACCGCGTCGTCGGCTCGTCGCACACCGCGTCGTCGGCTCGTCGCACACCGCGTCGTCGGCTCGTCGCACACCGCGTCGTCGGCTCGTCGCACACCGCGTCGTCGGCTCGTCGCACACCGCGTCGTCGGCTCGTCGCACACCGCGTCGTCGGCTCGTCGCACACCGCGTCGTCGGCTCGTCGCACACCGCGTCGTCGGCTCGTCGCACACCGCGTCGTCGTCGCCACCGCGTCGTCGGCTCGTCGCACACCGCGTCGTCGGCTCGTCGCACACCGCGTCGTCGGCTCGTCGCACACCGCGTCGTCGGCTCGTCGCACACCGCGTCGTCGGCTCGTCGCACACCGCGTCGTCGGCTCGTCGCACACCGCGTCGTCGGCTCGTCGCACACCGCGTCGTCGGCTCGTCGCACACCGCGTCGTCGGCTCGTCGCACACCGCGTCGTCGGCTCGTCGCACACCGCGTCGTCGGCTCGTCGCACACCGCGTCGTCGGCTCGTCGCACACCGCGTCGTCGGCTCGTCGCACACCGCGTCGTCGGCTCGTCGCACACCGCGTCGTCGGCTCGTCGCACACCGCGTCGTCGGCTCGTCGCACACCGCGTCGTCGGCTCGTCGCACACCGCGTCGTCGGCTCGTCGCACACCGCGTCGTCGGCTCGTCGCACACCGCGTCGTCGGCTCGTCGCACACCGCGTCGTCGGCTCGTCGCACACCGCGTCGTCGGCTCGTCGCACACCGCGTCGTCGGCTCGTCGCACACCGCGTCGTCGGCTCGTCGCACCCGCGTCAATCGCCACAGTGTTCGGCGCGCACCGAACCGGCGCGGCACTGCTGTTTGGCGGCAACTCAGCTTCCTCGCGTGTCAAGGCGAGTCGTCATGCTTCTGGGCGTTGTTCGGAAAGGGGCGTCTGGCCAGGGCGATCTGGTCAGGACGATGTGGACAGGACGATCTGGCCAAGACATACCTCGCGCAATTTATTAATACGGTTCAGGCGATGACTAAGAGCATCGTGAAGCGGTGCCCGCAGTACGGGAGATATGCACAGGACACGTCCAAATACATCAACATTGCATGTGAGTGCCCCAATCTCATCCCTCCTCATCCCCATGTGGCCTTGGATACGCGCAGGACGCCTCCAAGTACATCGACCTTGCTCGTAAGACCTTCAACCAACAACTTTATTCAACCTGATTGTTTTCAAAGGACCGTTCAGTGTTCGTCCAGACTCATTTGAGTCCTATTTCCCTATCTTTCCAAAATCACTCAACGCTTTACAACTCTTCCTCCCCCCCCCCCTCCCCCCCCCCCCCCCCACCGCCTCTCCCCCCTCCCCCTCGGTGAACTCCAAGTAGGACCTGTCAGCACTGCAAGACGTGCCCATCTTCCCTTTCCAATATCACTCAATGCCCTCTCCTAAACCGTCTCCCCCTCTCTCCCCTCTTCCCTCTCTCCCCTCTCCCCTCTCCCCCATCAGTGAACTCCAAGTACAACCTGCCGGCGCTGCGAGACGCGTCCATCCTCATCCCCAACAACGCGCAGGCAGAGGCCCTCGCTAAGAGGATTCCCACAAAGAGCAGCAGCATCCCCACAGTGTACAGCATCACGGCCTTCCACATCCTGCGCAAGCGCATGAACGTTCTGCAGATGCGGCAGGTGAAGCAGAGGGTGGGAGTGGGCACACAGCTGAGGCAGCCACTGTTCAAGATGACGGTGGCGAATAGCAGCACCGTAGCGTTATGCCAAAGGGCCGTGCTTGAAGCAGGCACAGTGGACGACCATCCGCATCCCCGGGCTGTATGTGGGGCGCTGGTTCATTGCCCATGGGGTTGACCACGTGCTCATCCCCACTCACACCAATATATGATGAGACCAGGGCCTCAGATTACAAGCTTTTTACCCTGATTCAGGGTAAAATCAGGGTGTTTTTTAGGGGTGACCCTGATGAGACAGGGTTTTTTTTTAACACAGGCCTGAAATTTCAGCATTTTTTTAGAAGTGAACCCTGATCAATCACCGTGCCTAGTGTAGTGAGGCCTGTTTTTCCAGCGTCGCATTCGGGACCGACCCTGATACGTGTAAGGGTAGGTACTTCGGCTAAACATGCCTAAGTTGCGTAACTCGGGAAGCGTAATTCGTGAAATCCGTCCCGCTGAGCGCAACCCGATGTTGGAACCTCGGATTGCGCTTTTCGGGTGGGAATCGCACCTCATTTCGAACATCGGGTTGCGACGAACGAATTGCCTGAAATGGAACACCAACATCCGTAACCATACCGTATTTCTCGAGCGAAATCAGTTTTCGCATTGTGAGTTGCTGCCTTCGGGCGTCTAGGCCGGCGCGAAGCCAGCAAATTTTGAGAGTTGCGCAACCCGCGTTGCACATCTCTCTGAGACTATTCGCCAACTTGTTTGACGATTTTTCACGGAACCCGTTACTTTTGCGAATTGCGCAAGTCGACCAAGTACCACGCCCTAATAGTGGATTTCGAGCCACAACCCCACCACCCATGATTTCCGTGATTTCCCCATCCACCCCCCCTGTCATTCATGCCAACTTGACTGTGACCCACCAAGACTGTAATCAATGTTGTGATATAATTGATACTATGCATTTCTGTAAGTTGACTACGTATAGTTAGTGTCGAATCCTACTATAGAACATAAGTCCGTAGGATGACGTCAGCAAATAGCGCTCGTCATGAGGACAGTCGTTTCAGTAACGCGAATAGTCGCATCTCTTCATTATCATTTAGGGCGCATAGCGCGATACTGACGAACAGGTACATTAGCGAATAGGTACTTTTCCTAGTACTATAAATCCTTGTTAGGTCTTTTCATTATTAACTTTGATTACTCACAAGTTCACGTACTCAGGTAATTCAACCTTGGCTGTTACCTTTTTACAAGACTTTCGCTGTCTTACTAGTCTACCATTCCAGTAAAGATCCTAGACCAACACTTGAGGATTTCCAAGTGTTCGTGTTTGCAGTTTTATACTTAGTCTTCTACAACATTGAACAAGTTTTTTCATGGTATGAGAGCGATCTGGAATTAAGACTACTGTCAACAATGACTGGTTCATCACCAGCACCGTCTGCTGGATAAACTTCCAGAACTACTGGAGTACATGTCTCCACGACCGCCACTGGTCACTCAGCCTCTGGGCCGTTTTCACCAGCCTATGCTCATATCGGTATGCAACAGCAGAATCCGCCTTCTGTTAACAGTCCAGGTGTTTCTTCGACTGCACCTGTAGCGCAACAACAACAATCACAGACAACAGCACAGCAACAAGCGTCAGTACAGCCACCAGTTTCAACGCAATCAATTTCATCTGCGTTCAGTGGAATGAGCCTTGATGGCTCAAGTTATATGCGTGGAGCCACAGCTCCAAGTGCTGCTTTCTCACCTTTTGTACAGCAGCCGCAATCGCAGCAGTTTCAGCATCCTTTCTACATCTTCGGTCGTTCCACTGCTCATCAACAACAGCAACAACAACAGCATCATCAGCAGCCACAGCAATTCCAACAGCAACAGCAACAACAGCAACAGCAACAACAGCAACAGCCGGGTATTATTTTGCAGCCTCCAAATTTACTTAACAGCACACAGATAAAAACCACTATACCTTTTAACGGAGTCGACTTCTACTCCTGGAGCTTTGAGTTTGAGCTTCTGGCGCAGTCCGCTGGGCTATGGCCGTTCTTCATCGGCGAGTTCACGTATCCTCTCGTGGGAACACAGCTGGAGTAGCAGAGTTTCTTGCACGCCTCTCTCAGGGCGTATACAGTTCTTGTTCGGAACTTGTCGCCGAAGGAGCAGCTCGGCGTCCGATCATTTCACTCAGGCTTTACACCAGCCGGAACTGCTTGGAACCATCTGAAGGGGGTGTACATGGCAAAGGATACAATAACGGTGAGTAAAATACTTTCGCAGCTGACAAGTGTGCAGATGATGACAAACGAAAACGTCATGGACTACGTTAATCGCGTCCGTACACTACGAGATCAACTGGAGAAGAGTGGAGGATACTTCCCTCGTGAGATGTATCTCATGGTCCTTCTTGCTGGTCTTGGACCCGAATGGCGACAGACGCCCGCCTTCCTGCGAATGAACCCGAACCTTTCCGAAGCCGAAATCTCTTCATATCTTCAAGCAGAGCAGCAAGATCTTGACCTGCAGTCACAACGCAATCAGAAGAAAGGGGTTCATTTAAGTTTTTACTCCAATCCAGAACCACACCAACGACATCCTTCAGAATATCCATTCTGCCATTTTTGTAAGAAACCAGGACATACTTACCAAAACTGTCTCAGCCGACATCAAGATCGCCGCAGCACTTCTCAGCCATATCACCGATCGCAGCAGTTACCGAATACACAACAACCACCGCAGCAGTTAACGTCTCAGCAGCAGCAGATGCCAAAACCACCGCAGAATCCATCGATGTCGCAGCATCGCCCGCCGGTCTTCGCATCTGCCACATCAGGAAAAGGGGTTTTTGGATGTGTTACAACAGTCGATGTTTCAGAAACAGATTTCGAGGCACATCTTGAAGAAACTACAAGTGCTAAAGGCATTCCCTTACCACAAGTTTACGCTAACCTTGCTCGAGTTATTTCAGGTCCAAATACTTGGTATCTTAACAGCTGTTGTGGTTGGCACATGTGTTCCTCTGAAACAAGCTTCATCACCAACCAGCGACCGCTTCGTCGTCCGATACCTGTCACAGTTGCAAACGGACAAACGATTATGGCATGTTCTATTGGGAGGGTAATGCTCGAATCAATCGACACGGGATACTCACTCCATGTTACCAATGTTCTAATTGTCGCCAGTCTTGGCTTCAATCTTCTTTCCACGGCTCAACTCCTGGCACACAAAATTCGGACACAAGGCAATTGTGAAACAATGGATCAAGAATTATGGCACAGCCCAATAAATACTTACCTCGGCCGTGCCGCTACTCAACATGGTGTTTCCGTTCTTCAGTTTACGGCACAAGGAACTTCTGGTGACTCTTAACGCATTCTTGCACTTGGTCCCTGGGATCATCCAGAAGAAACAGATTATCAGCAAGTGGATATTGATTTTCAAGCAACTACTGTGCCAACATCTTCTCGAACTGCAGCCGCCATACTCACCGCCTTAGATACCTGGGAGTTTAGTACCGCCGATGCAGGCGCCAACGCTTGACGAACCTTTTATACTGCCCGCGAGGCTCTTCAAGGAACTCCAGCTCCACTTTGGGGTGAAGTTAGCGGCCTTGCATCTGATGAACCATATGTCGATAAAGAAGCTGAACAAGAAGAAGTAGCTGAGCAGTCGAGTCCACCAGTCGTTGTCGCAGAATCTCCTGCCACCATATCAACAGAAGCAGCATCAGAAGTTTTCGTTACAACTGCAGAAGCACCATCAAACGTCACGTTACCGCTTACCCGTTTTGTCGAAGGAGAGATTGACATGTCACCAGTACTTTCTCCTTTTATAATTTCTTCGTTTTATACTAACTCCGATTTCTACCTACGATCATCAGGACACAAAGCCACAGAAGATATCCGGCATCAGCGGTTAGGACATCCATCGCAAGGGATTTTAAATCATTCAATTCGCGCAGCAGTTCTTGATAAAAACAGTCTACTTTTACTTGTCATCCCGATCTAGCTTACGCGGCCAGTCAGTTCGCTCAGTTCCTACGCCGACCCGAAGAAGAACATCAACTCGATCTTCTTCGTGCGCTTCAATATTTCATCTCGACACCTGAGGTCGATTTAGTCTACAACTTCATCGGTTGCAAAACACTATACCTACACGGTTTCGTCGACGCCGACCACGCCGCTGACACTACTAATCGACGCTCTCATACTGGGTTCATCTATCGACTTGAACCTATCGGGCCTATCTCTTGGAATTCGACGAAGCAGGAGTTGATTGCTCTCTCCTCTGCTGAAGCTGAGTTCATCGCTGTCTGCACAACAAAACGCGAAGGACTTTACCTACAGGAACTCTTGGAAGAAGCGAAGTTGACGACGACTACCCAGTTTACCCTACAGTGCGACAACCAAAGTGCAATTCGCATCGCGCATCAGCCTGGTTTCGTCAACAGGACAAAACATATTTCTCTGCGTTATTTTTTCGTCAAGGATGAAGTCGAGAAGGGGAGAATGCGATTGGTCTACTGTTCGACCAACGAAATGGCTGCCGATTTCTTCACGAAGAAGCTGACATGACAGAAGTTCCAGTACTGTAACAAGCTTTGCGGGATCTTCAAGAAGTGACACTATCGAACTTCCAGAAATGAAGGGGAGTGTTGTGATATAATTGATACTTAGCATTTCTGTAAGTCGATTAGGTGTAGTTAGTGTCGAATCCTACTGTAGAAGATAAGTCCGTAGGATGACGTCAGCAAATAGCGCTCGTCATGAGGACAGTCGTTTCAGTCACGCAAATAGTCGCATCTCTTCACTATCATCTAGGGCGCATAGCGCGATAGTGACGAACAAGTACATTAGCGAATAGGTACTTTTCCTAGAACTATAAATCCTTGTTAGGTCTTTTCATTATTAACCTTGATTACTCACAAGTTCACGTACTCAGGTTATTCAACCTTGACTGTTACCTTTTTACAAGACTTTCGCTGTCTTACTAGTCTACCATTCCAGTAAAGATCCGAGACCAACACTTGAGGATTTCCAAGTGTTCATGTTTGCAGTTTTATACTTAGTCTTCTACAACATTGAACAAGTTATTTCAATCACGACCTGTGACAAATAATGGCATGTGGTATTTGAACAGCGTGTTTTCTGTAGTTGAGCATGTTTATTCAGCGCTTTTTTTTTACAACACCCTGATTGATCAGCGTAATTTTTTTTTAGAGGCCTGAAAAAACAGGGAGCTGAAGGGGGGGGACCCTGAGCGATCAGCGTGCCCCAAAACGAATCTGAGGCCCTGGATGAGACAGTTGAGGGGGGAAGTGAGAGGGACGGGAGCAGGCCCCCAGAAGTCAAGAAAATTTTCCTGATTCAGGAAAAAAAACAGGGAGTTTCTCGGTACTTACCTTGATTGTGCAGGGTTTTGTAAATGACACACCTTGTTTTTTCAGGCTTTTTGTAAGGGTAAACTCTGATCGCTCAGCAAGGTTTCTTAGCGAACCCTGAATTTCTCAGCATTGTAGCGGGTCTTAGTCCTTTCCAAAAGCGTGTCTAGGGGGGCAGTCAAGAATTTCGAGGTTCTCCCCCCCCCCCCTTCCCCCACCCCCCGAGGCTGTGTGAGGGCGCTGATTGGCCCTTGGTAAAAAAAAGTATCCGCGCTGTATGTTGGACTGTGCTGGCGTCATGTGAGGGAGGTGTGCCGAGGACTGTGTGAGGGCAATTGCTGGCCCTTGGCCGAATTTGCTTCATGTGCGCCTGCCCTAGGGCTCTGCGAGGGAAGAGATTCCCTCCGCCCCTGCAATCTCGTCGCCTCCCCCCCTATTCAGCCCTTCCCCCTGTTAAAATTATATATTGAGTTATATAATGTGTAGGCTTGGTAGATTAGATGTTACTGAATATTACTGTAGGGGGTACAACACCCCTCCTTGTATCCCCCTCTCTTCTTTCCTAACTCTCTTTTCTCTCCTCAACTTTTCTCCTTCCTAAACCTCACGCCACTCCATGGCTCCTCCTAGCTAAACCTCATGCCTTTCCTAGCTTCCTAGCTAAGCTAGCCTTCTAACACCCCCCTCTCCCCCCCACCAATTGTCGTTTCCTGCCCATCCCCCAATCTCGCCACACACGCGCGAATTCACTACGAATTCCCAGCACCCCCCAAAACCAAGACTTGAACACACAAAATTCATGAACTATAACAAGTATAGAAAGATTGAAAAATCCGTTTTTTTTCTAAGTAATTCTGATGGCTCAGGATTTTTTTTTAGGAGACCTTGAAAATTCAGACTTTTCTGCAGGGAGAATCCTGATGGATCAAGAAGCCTCAAAACCAATCTAGGGCCCTGGACGGGAGGGTGATATCAAAAGAAAACTGAATGATTGGATAGAGGGAGAGAACAAGGGTATATACCTAAGAGTGTTGTACCCTCTAAGAGGTGACCCTATACAGTCTATACAAATATGAGTTATACATATATTTGACACACCCCCTAGACTGCATAGGGGCAAATCCTGAACAAGCAGCTCAGGGCGGCACTACTAGTCCAGCCACTGAGACAAGGGTCTAAAGACCAGTCAAAAGGAGTACAGGCAAGACAAGAACAAGACCAGGGCAGCACTACTAGTCCAGCCACTGGGAAAGGACACAAGTCCAGTCTGAGTACATATATATAGATATATATAGGACAGTACAAAGTCAAGGTCCTAGCAAGTCAGAGGCTACAGGAACTAGACCGAGCTGTACGCAGTGCCGCTGATGATCTTTAGGCGCAAGCGCCTTCGTAAAGATATCAGCTGTGTTGGCACCAGAGGCCAAGTGAACTACGCGGGCCTGGCGACGCTGCTGTAGCTCGAGCAGGAGGAAGTACCGCAGCTGAATGTGCTTCGCTCTGCCCTCAAGTCGAGGCTCTTGACACAGGAGTATCATGGCCTTGTTGTCAGCGTACAGGACCGGGGCAGAGCTAGGCCGCTCACCTAAGTCTGTGAGCAAGAAAGTCAGCCAGCGGAGCTCCTGTGCCGCCATGGCACCAGCGTAGATCTCAGCCTCACAGCTCGACTGAGCAACAGACGACGAGCGAGTGGATCTCCAAGAAATAGCACCCGAACCAAGGCTAAAACAGTAGCCCTGTGACGACCTGAGCGTCTCAGAGTCGTCTGCCCAAGAAGCGTCTGTGTGCCCAGTGAGGACCACTGGCCTGCGTCCTCCTAACACTAACCCCATGCGTGATGTACTTGCTAGATATCGCAAAACCCTCTTGGCTGCCGACCAGTGCTGTGGTCGGTGTCTGCCAGTGGCCACAAAGCGAGCTAGGATGCTGAGAGGGTATGCGAGATCTGGGCGAGTGCAGGTCATCAGGTACATGAGGCAACCCACTAGCTCTGCGTAGGGGCCGCTGGGCTCTACTGACTCCTCAGGAACAGGAGCGGAAAGCCCGTCGTCTACAGGTAGAGGTGTGGGCTGTGCAGAGGAGAACTGAAGACCGAACCTCTGAAGGACCTGACGCACCAAGTGTGACTGGGTCAGAGTGATGGTGCGTGCTGCTCTGTTCCAAGAGATCTGCAGGCCAAGATAGCGACGCAGCTCTCCAAGATCAGTGCAGGTGTGTCTCTTCAGCAGCTCAGTCTTCACAGAGGCCAGTGCGTCCCTGTCAGGAGTAGCGAAGACCAGGTCGTCTACGTAGACAAGGATGTAGAACAGAGTCTGGCCGGAACGCACAAACAGGGAAGGGTCAGCAGAGGACGGAAAGAACTGCAGGTCTGCTAACGTGGCACGTAGCGTGTCGTGCCACTCGCGGGGAGCCTGACGCAGGCCGTAGACCGGGCGCCTGAGAAGCCACTGGGTCCCAGGAGGGAAGGTACCAGTGAAGCCCTGTGGTCGGCGCAGGTAGACCTGCTCGTGTAGGCTGCCCTGAAGAAAGGCAGTAGAGAAGTCAAGGGAGTGAAGCTCGTAGTCACGCTGTGCTGCTACGTGTAGCAGCGCCCGAAGAGTGGTCATCTTCGGGGTCGGGGCGAAGGTCTGGAAGAAGTCAACCCCCTCGCGCTGAATGAAACCTCTGGCCACGTAGCGCGCCTTGAAGACAGGCGGCTCTCCAGAGGGGGGCTTCACCTTGAAGAGCCACCGACCATCGACTACGTTCACCCCAGGCAGGGGAACTGCGTCGACGTAAGTGCCGGTGGACCTCCAAGATGCCATCTCCTGCTCCATGGCAGCTATCCACTGAGAGGCCCAAGGTCCCGAGGTGGCCTCAGCGTAGGTGCGAGGGGTCGGGATGTCGAAGGCGTCTGGGTCACCCTCAGGGACTAAAAGCATGGAGCAGAGATGGGGAGCAGCCTCGGACAGGAAAGCCAGCTCGTACTGCCTGTCCTCTAGGACGTCACTGCCAAGGGCAGGAGCACCCCCGACGGACGGAGGACGGGCAGGGTCAGAGACCAGAGCGGTAGCGTAGTCAAGGCGGCGGGACACTACTTCGTAACAGGAGCTGAACGATTCGTCTTCATCAAGAATCTCAGCCATCCGAGGTGATTGATTGGAGCAGTCTCAACATCAACCTCACGAGGCGACACACCAATCATGCGTCGCGATTCCAGGTGTTAATGACCTGCGTGGAAGAAAATTCCGTGCACGTCACGATGCTTGACAGATTGAGGAGTAATTAACCTCTAATCCGGCAAGTACTCGTTCACTAGCGACCCTACGGCACATGCATTGGAGGCGATTCTACCAGAAGCCAAAGCGTTACAAGCATCAGCGTAACTTCGACGATGCAGGAGAACGCCAAGCAACACGAGGTGTCAACAAATGAGGGAGATGCGGACTACTACAACACGATCACGCGCTCTACCGACCGTACATCGGAGGCACGGATGAGCATACCAGGAATTGCTACCCGTGGATACATTGGGGGGAGAAGCAAATTTCTCTTCACACCCTCAAATGAAACAATCACCGGCAGCAATGGAGCAACACATGTGTACCAATGTGCACGTGTTCCTGGTAGTTACGCCTGTTACACCCATCAGGAACACTCTACTGGGAAGAGGGAGTTGATGGATTCTCCTTCAACTGGTACGAGTTGAGAGAATTTTCTGCAGCAGCTGCCGCCGTCGCCGTCGTCGCAACCGCCGCCGCCGCCGCAGCAGAAGACTCGACACAACAGTCACAACCAAATCCTGATGGAGGATTCTCCACTCAATGGAGATAATGCTGGATTATATTGCAGTGGATCGTAAAGTCCTGGTCAGGCACAATACTATGATTTCCAGCTAGTGGGGAGGAGATACCACTATGCGAGGGAACAACATGGCAATGCCATATACCCTCAAGAGCAGGAGATATTTGCTCTTATGAGGATGGGAGGACTACCGTACTCTACCGGTATACAAGTCCTCATGGCCTATGGCTTTCCTTAAAGTCATAAAACCTGCGTCGCAACCAATCCATCATCAGCACCAACTCCACGGAAGCAGATAGGCGTGGAATGGAGCGCCGACGCCACTCCGGATAGTGGACTCCGCGTATCTCCAATGACACCCCTGTTTGTCGAAATGGAGCAGACTTCAACACTGATGCTGGGTAGCTGAGACATCTTCTACATCAACGCTACTTCAAGGACAGTGACAGAATGAGACAACACATGATGGCACCAGAAAACCTATCCCAATATGTGCGCCCAGACACCGATGCCTACCGATGGCCTCCGTGCTAAACTGGACGTGCATAAGGTCATACTGGATTGGCTGTCAGCAATACTCATTTGGAAATGGGAGAGGATTATTTGGGAACAGCCCCAACATTCCCAAGTATCCTAACCCATCAGCGTGAGATATCTACACAGCAGAGATTCCTTGCTTGAGCAACCACCGAGGGAAACTACTTTGGCGCCGATTCTGGAAGTTACCAGCTCCGCGTTTGTGGTACCAACCCCTCGCTTGGTTCTGAACACAAGGGATACGCTGAGCAGCACTTCGCATGCGCTGTTGTACTCAAGGCAATGTGAGTAGCAGATCGTGTGGTGGACAGGGTTACGACTAGTGATTCTGCTCTCCATTCCGCAGCACTACGATGCCGAGTGGGTACGACTCGAGACAACAATACGGTATGGACCAGCATTCGACAGAAGTTGCATGTAACGGATACAACGCTGCGACAGAAGCAGTACTATGACACGACTGCCATACCACCAACACTTGGTGATCTTCACACGTGGACCAGATGCGGTTAACAGCATGCACGGATCGGACAACATAGCCATTCATCTGCACGTTACAGCACATTGTTCCAACCATTCACATCTCCAACTCCGACTTGCATCTGCCCGTCCTGGAGTTTGCCTACAAGTATGCTCCTGACGCCGCTACTGGACAGACGCTGTACTTCGTCTGTTACGGACGCCACCCAATCACACCACAACAGCTAACCATACCAGCCACAGTCCAACTGGCTTCCGATTTCATCGCCATCGTCCACCATCTTGTACATCGACCACACAAGCACCTCTTGGACATCCAACAGCAGCAGAAGCACCTGGCTAGTCATCACCACAATTATCCACACCATAATATCGACATCAGCCATCTTCCATCCAAGCTTCAACCTTGCTTCTGCGGGTCTATCATCGTGAAGCAAAGGTCACTTCAGTCAACTTCCGCTTCCGCCTACCCGCCACTTGGAAGATCCATAACACCTTCCATACCAGCTTCTTAAACCCTATCAAGACCAAACACGCTCAACACCGAATGCCAACCAACGTCGCCGCCCGTGTTCATCCACGCCATGGGACAACTACGTGCTTGGACATCGTCATCATCAGACTAGCACTCTGGAGCTTCTTCTTTGCTGGAAGGGTTATGATACTTCTGAGGCTGTTTCTCTGAATTCGACATGGGTAACGCCCGTCGTCCTCTTCGCGACTACCTTGTCAAGCAGGGTGTTACGTCTACCACCCAGCTTTGAGGGGGGGAAGTGTGAGAATACGACCCCGTTACACCAATTTCCCCTTTCCATATTTCCTTTCTCTTTCATTCCTCTTTTTATCCTGATTCATTTGGTCTT